GGAGTTCTGTGTACATTTTGTTTACAAGTCCTTTGTTAGATATATTTTTGCAAATATCTTTTCACAATTTGTGCTGTTTTCAACTCTTTAGTGGTATCTTCTGAGTAATGGTTCTTACTTTTTTTTTTAAAGAAATATGTAGAAAGCCAGTTTTTTTAATGTTTATTTTTGAGAGAACGATAGAGAGAGAGAGACACACACACACACACACACACACACACACACAGGGAGCGTTAGCGGGGGGAGGGGCAGAGAGAGAGGGAGACACAGAATCTGAAGCAGACTCCAGGCTCTGAGCTGTCAGCACAGAGCCCAACACGGGACTCAGATTCAGGGACTGTGAGATCATGACTTGAAGTAGGACGTTTAACTGACTGAGACACCTAGGCACCCTGAACAGTTCTTACTTTTTTTTTTTTTTTTATGTTTTATTTATTTCTAGGAGAGAGAGAGACACACAGTGTGAGCAGGGCAGGGTCAGAGAGAGTGGGAGTCACAGACTGAAACAGGCTCCAGGCTCTGAGCTGGCAGTCAGCACAGAGCCCGACGCGGGGCTCGAACCCACGAACCGCGAGATCATGACGAAAGCGAAAGTCGGACGCTTAACCGACTAAGCCACCCAGGCGCCCCAAGAACAGTTCTTACTTTTAAAACTAGTCCAATTTATCTCATTTGTTCTTTCTGGTTAATGCTTTTTATTATTTTTTTTTTTACTTTAAATTTATTTGTTTGTTTATTCATTTATTTAGTTTTAGAGAGAGAGCATGCACAAGCTGCCGAGAGGGGCAGAAGAGAGAGAGAGAGAGAGAGAGAGAGAAAGGTGAGCAGCCTCCATGCTGAGTGTGGAGCCCGATATGGGGTTCAATCCCATGACCATGGTGTCATGACCTGAGCCAAAATATGAGTCAGCCACTCAATTCATTGATCTACCCAGGCACCCCTATAATTAATGCTTTTTATGTCCTATTTATATGATTTTTTTTGCCTATCCCAAGTCGTATTGTTTTTTGTGTGTATGTATTTTTATTTTTATTTATTTATTTTTTTACAAAGTCTTATTGTTTTACTTTTGACGTTTAGATCTATAATCCATCTGGAGTTGATTTTAATGTGTGGTTAAATTTTTTTCATGTGTTTATCCAATTGATCTGGTACTGTTTATTGAAAACATCATTCTTTCCCCTCTGCGTTGCAATGTCACCTATTTAATATTTGAAAGAACCTATATTTGTGAATTGGTTTCTGAATCCTCAATCCTCTCTTCCAATCCATTGGTCTATTTGTGTCCAAACCACATTGTGTTAGTTACTGTAGTTTTATAATAAGTAGTGGTGTGAGACCTCCAGCTTGGTTCTTCAGGATTGTCTTGGATATTTTTTGGTCTTTTATATTTTTCATATGAATTTTTGAATCAGCTTGTCAATTTTCACAACCACCATAAAAACTGTTTGGCAGCATCCACTAAGCTGATCAATTATACTCTTAGGTACATACTTAAGAGAAAGAAATATCCAAGAATATTTGTAGCAACACTCATCATAAGACTCTGCTCCCATTTAGAAATAAGCCAAATGCCCACCACCAGTCAAATGGTTAAATAAATAGGTGCACAGAATGGAATGCTATGTAGCAAATGAGAATAAATGAACCAGTGCTACACAAAATGGTGTGGGTAAACCTCACAAGCATAGTGTTTAATACAATAAGCCCAAACCTAGAGAGTTTATGTTGTGATTCCATTTATACAAAGTTCAAAACCCATGCAAAGCTAACGTACAGTGTTGGAAGTAGGAAAGTTACGTCATTTGGGGATGAGGGATCATGGTGCAGACCTTTTTGGGTCCTGGGTATATTCTCTTTCACTCCGTGAATAGGCACACAACTGTGTACCGTTTTGTATGCACATTATACTTCAGTGAAAAGCTCATTTAGAAACTAACTCAATGCAGCAATGAATATTGGAGGCTTACTGTGTGCAGGGAGCTTTGTCCTGCCCAAGTAAGGGGTAAATTTCAGGATAGAAAGGAATACTGCCCTGAGGGGGAGTTCTGGGTTTGGGGGGCTGGTAAGGGATGCAGAAGCAAGCCTGTAAAACTTTACAAAGCGTGTGGGAGCAAAGGATCACTCAATTAGCCTTGCCTAGGGGTTGGGGAAGTTGTTTCAGTTATTGAGTGCAAAGTAGGATTTCAACTACTGTAGTCATGGAGCTGTTAGTGTTTTTGAGGCCAGGAAATAGAAACATATGAAACTAATGTGGTAACTTGTATTTTTAATTTGAAACAAGGTTAAAGTTTAATTTAAGGCCTGACTAATTTCCTTGGAACTCTGGTATAGTAGGTATTGTTGTAATCTGTTGTATCTGAATGGTGTAATATGTTGTAATCTGAATGGTGACTGTGAAAGCTCTAAAATTTCTAATACAGAAGAAAATTGATACATGGATCCCTTTATTCTCTATTCTTGGGTATGCTGAACAAATTACTGGCCAACGTCATTGGTGTGATGTGGCTTCAGCAATCAAGTTATGAAATGTAGTTGTATTTAATAGAAAAACAAAAAGAAGAAATCTCAAATTTCTCTGGATAGTGGAGTTGCCGAGGGAGCCCAGGGAGATATACTGATAGGTAAGGTCTGGGGAAAACATTGCATACGATGAAGGAACCAGGGAGAGGGAGATGGAATTCTCTAATCGTTGGCAATTTGGGGAGAATCCCAAAGGACCAAATGTTCTGGAGGAAATTTTGTGTAGTAAGAACGTCCCCATAAATTAGACCTCTCAGTGTAATTCAGGCCTTCTGGAACATTCTAGGTTCACCAAGGGTAGTTTGAGTGCTTCCAGAGAAATGTAAACCAGCTCAATTCCTGGGTGGAACACCAGGCAAGGTTGTACAATGCAGACTGGTTCTGCTAACAGGCAACCAACTGTTATTTCACAGCTACTTTGTTGCAGAAGATCTCCGCACCCTGAAAAAAGTCTATGATGGAAGGGACTCTGGAGGCGGACAGATAAGGATTCCGACCCCACCTTGGCCAGTCACAGCATCCGTGACCTTGGAATGCCTCCACCACACTTCTCCATTGCCTCAGTTTCCTTTCCTGGAAAATGAGGATAATGACTTCCACCTTGAATCACATTCACCTTGTGAAAACGAACTCAACTATTTTAAATCCCTTAGCACAAAGCTTGGTACATAACGTGCAATAATCATAATAGCATTATTTTCACAATGCTTTCTGGCCAATGTCATGCTGGACAATAAACACAGCACTGAACATCTCCTTTTCTAGGTCACCGTGTTCACAGAGTTCATACCGTCATTCCGTTTAGACAGAGTTCAGAAAACAAGCAAAGCTAATGGATGGGGTTAGAGGTCAGGAAAGTCATGTCTTTTGGGGAGGAGGGGTCAGGGTGCAAACCCTCTGGGTGCATTGTCTTTCACTTTGGATCTATATTCTTTGAATATATTCATGAGCCTCATCCTATGTTCTCCTGGAGCCAGGCTCAGCCCTCAGGCAAACAATGGGAAATTGTCAATTACGCAGGGAGTAGTTGGCACTTACTGATTTGTCTGTCTCTGCCACAAAAAAAAAAAAAAGAAAGCAATAATCCACAATGAGAAATAGTTTTATTGATTTCAGTACATATGTGTTCATAGAAGAAAGTAAAGTTTCACAAGGTAATACTTACCTATTAACTGCAATGCACCCAGGTAGTTTATATTCTAAACTCCTCTATTTCACTTTTTAAAATATGTTGATGACAGTCCCCTTTATTGATTTTATTACCTCTGAATAGGTCAAAACTCATAGTTTGAAAGACACTCCTGTCATTCTGTTCCTCAAATTGAAGATGAGGAAACTGAGGCACAGAAAGGGGAAAGTGAGTTGCTTGGGGAAAGTGCTATGTGGTACAGGACTGAAGCCAGAAACATGGACCCTGAAACTCTGGCATTTTCCACAAACCACTGCATGGAGGTGCACCGTAATGGACAGTCCTAACATGATAGGCTAGGACGCGCATTTCCCTCCCTCCCTCCTTCCTCCCTCCTCCCTCCTTCCCTTCTTTCTTTTCTTTCTTTCTTTCTTTCTTTCTTTCTTTCTTTCTTTCTTTCTTTCTTTCTTTCTTTCTTTCTTTCTTTCCTTCTTTCCTTCTTTCTTTCCTTCCTTCCTCCCTCCCTCCCTCCCTCCTTTCTTTCTTTCTTTCTTTCTTTCTTTCTTTCTTTCTTTCTTTCTTTCTTTCTCCTTCCTTCCTCTTTCTTTACTCTCTCCTTCCTTCCTTCCTTCCTTCCTTCCTTCCTTCCTTCCTTCCTTCCTTCCTTCCTTCCTTCTTTTTCTTTCCTTCTTTCCTCCATTCCTCCTTTCCTTCTTCCTTCCTTCTTTACATCTTCCTTCTTTCCTTCCTTCCTTCCCTCCCTCCCTCCCTTTCTCTATCTCTCTTTCTTTTATTATAAAAGAGTCCACAAGGCCCCTAGGTACCACCTTTCCTGGAACAGACACATTGCTAAAAGGAGGCACTAGAATCTCTTCTCCTGGAGCTCAGAGGACTGCCTTCCCCTGCTTCCAGGCAGTCTCTGGAACTGCCCAAGCTGTGGTCAGAACTAGCTGTTCTTGAGGGACTGAGTGGTTCCAGATCTTGTCCTACTTTCTGCAAACAGTAAGAGCACTTTGTCCACCTGCCCCCAGGCCTGCACCTGTTCGCAGAGCCATAGAAAGGATGGAGAGATGTCAGACCTTACTGGGCATCTCTGGGGTGAGAGCAGGGACAGCTGGTGAGACTCTCAAGGGAAACTGAGACCTGCGTGTCATTTCATTACTCTTTCCTCCTCCTGCTTCGTGTCTCCCACTGTAGTCATTGGCTGTCAGGAGATCCAAGCCCTGGATCTTGCCCATCCTGAGGTAGGACCTGGCCCAGTAAGTGTGGGCTGTGCTTTTCCCCACGAATGTGCTTCACTTGAGCTAGATTTTGTCTTTTGTTTTTTATTCAGGGAAGGACATGGACTGTTTGGCCTTGTGTTCATGGCTGCACGAAAGCCCACGGCCACGTCTACCCAGCAGGCTTATGCCGAAAGAGGCACCAGGCTGATGTTGCTGGAGTCAAATGTACACGTTCCCGCAATGGCAGGTGTTTCGTGTACCAATCGCTAACTATCCCTTGGCCTTGGCTGCCGTCTGCTCATTGGCCAAAATGCCTGAAACTCTGCCCAGGTATGTGTGCGTGCACAGATCGGTCAGCACAGCAGACTTGCCCCTTATTAAACCCCTTATCATTAGCAATTGGCATGTATTCAAGTTAGTTAACATACAGTGTAGTATTGGTTACACGGAACCCAGGGATTCATCATTCCCATACAACACCCAGGGCTCATCTCACCAAGTGCCCTCCTTGATGCCCATCACCCGTTTAGCGGTTAGCAGCTTCCTCCACCCACCTCCCCTCCAGCAACCCTCAGTTTGTTCTCTTTCTTAAATACTTAATTGAGTGCCTTGACCCCATCCCATTGATGAAGATCTTGTGGCCCAAGTGAGACAGATAAGGTCCCTGATCTTATGGTGTTTATGTTCCAGAGAAAGAAAGGCACACAATAAACATGTAAACAAATGAGGTCATTGTAGATAGTAAGTATTTGAAGAAAAGGAAAGAAAAAAAGGATGATGGAATGGAATGATGTGGGCTGGTCCCTGGGAAGAGATAACATTGACCAGAGGCCTGACTTGCAAATAGGCAAGTATCTGGCTCAGGTGAAAGGAGCCTGGGGGTGTGAGAGGCAGAAGAAGGTGGCTAGCCCAATGCTGGAGGAGATGCAAGTGTGGGGAGAAGCCAAGTTGACCTTGAAAATGTCCTATATTCAGGGAGGTACTTCTGGGCTTCAGGAAAGAAAGTGGATTTTTTTTTTTTCAAATTTAGTGGGAATCTGTCACTGTAATACCTTTCTCACCTTCCTGCAGGTTGCAGACTTCCATCCTCACCTGCCTGTGACTCCTGGTCTTGAAGGCATCCTCAGAGCCAGCTGCTACTACCCTTCAGGGCAAGGTTTGTTTTTTCTTTTTACACTGCCCCCAAAATACAGTAAAACCGTATGCTTAGTGCAAGCAACATTATAACAAGAGATATATACAAGGAAAACATAGAACAAGGAAGAGCAATCACCTCCCCGTCTCTCCAGCATCATTAGTAATACAATTCTCATCTTTCAGGGTCCAGTTCTTGCCAATATGTATACTTTTTGTGTATTTCCTAAGAGGAGAGTGACCTGTGGTATGGAGCAAGATATAAATTATTTACCAGTTCATACATTCCACTGCCTTCTGTCTTCCTTTCTCCAGTACACCTACCTACTGACACTGACATTGTTAACCATTGTACCCAGCCATTGTGTGAGTTGGCTTAAGTGCATTATCTCGAATATTCAACATAACAACGCTGTGAGGTAAGTGCTATTATTATTCTCTTTTTACAGAGGAAAAACTGGAGGCTCACAAAGATTAAATAAATCGCCCAAGATTATGCAAATTGTCACCTCTAGTAACACAGTCAGGCTTTAAACATAAGAATCCCAAAGCTACCATGCCTTTGACCCTGATCTATACCCTCTCCCTGAGGCTCCATCAATTACAAGGAGACTTCACCAAACCAAGTTCTTTTGAAAGAAACTTCTGCCTAGTTGGGCTGAGAAATGGACTGTCATTAGGTTTCCTTCTTATGTAGCTCATGTACTTACCGTAATTAATGCTGATCATTAACGGGTGGACAGCTTGGTAAACAGTTAAGTGTTTAGCTGAGTCTTTCAAATATATGACCTTGATGCTCACACAGTAACCCTGGGGCAAGGGCTCTCTCAGTGTGCCCAGTTAACAGATGGGGAGGGGGAGGAGGACAGGGGACTGAAGCCACCAGCCCAAGGTCATCCTTGTTGGAGACCTCTTTAGCTGCAGACTTGGCGGACAAGATTGGGCGGGGAATGGCCAGTGGCTCATGTTGTGGGTAGATAGTGAAGTTCCTTTTTCCTTGTCAGTGAATCTTCCTGTGGCGGATGTTGCCATGTTGCCACGGGAGAGGAGGTGGGGATAAGTGCTCATAATCTGCTTCTGCAAAAAGGGTTAATGCTATTGAGTGCCTTAGGACTCGCCCACATTCTTGACTTTTGAAGCTATGTACCATTTCCTCTATCTCTAACTCCCAAAGAATCCTGTGAAGTAATGCAGGCATCTTCTGTCCAAAGTGACCCAGTGGGGTCAAGGCAAAGGGTGGGGGGGCTGCTCGATTCATTGCAGCCGCTAGTTTTCTTTCTAGCACAAAACACCAATGCTGCTGCCACAAACTACTCTGTTGCCCATTTGAGTAACAGTATATGGCTCACCAAGGACTCACACATCTGTTATCCCAACCATTCTCAGAGAGACAGGTAGTTTTGTGGCCACTTGTGCCCATTTTATAGTTGAAGAAACTGAGTCCCAGAGAGTACAAAGCTAGTAAGTGGCACTGTCAGGACTAGAGTCCAATTCTGTCTAAGATGAATCTCAGTTTTTTCCATGCTTTTTCCACTACATGCCTTTTTTTTTATATTAAAAAAAATAGGGGCACCTGGGTGGCTCAGTCTGTTGAGTGTCCGTCCGACTCTTGATTTCGTCTCAGGTCATGACCTCGCCTTTTCAGGAGTTCGAATCCTGCGTCAGGCTCTGTCCTGACAGTGTGGAGCCTGCTTGGAATCCTCTCTCTCCCTCTCTCACTGCCCCTCTCTCTCACTCGTTTTCTCTCTCTCTCTCAAAATAAATAATAAACTTAAAAAATAGATATGAACCATCCAGCAGCCCTAAGAGTGTGTGTTTACTGCAACCCTGCTGCCCCACCTCACCCCCTGCGGATAATGCACATTACAGGTATATTCTCCAGGCAGCCTCTGAGCATCTGGCAAATGGTAGGCTCTCTCCCCACGGCAGATGGAGACTGGCAAGTAAAACATTTACCAACTTCTTGATATAATAGTGCCTGCCCGGTGTTTGTGTAGAGGTATCAGGCAGTTATAATTGCCTTTTTAACATTGTGTAAAAATGAAAATAAATGTAACCGTAAGCCCAATATGGCTCTAATAGAATGTCAAGAATAATCAGCACTCAGGAATGGTAAGTTTATGGTTGTGGGAGGGACCCCAGGAGGGCACACATTGGTTCTGTCTGCGCGCGGGGGGGTGGGGCTGGGGCTGGCAGGGAGTTCAGGAGGCCTTTGAGGCGAACTGGAGGGGCTGGGGCAGGGGTGAGGGGGGGAACAGAGAGTTTGAAGTTGGAAAGATCGCTAACTTGGGGGATGACCTCACGCCAGTCACAGGATCCTTGTTGGAGATATCGGAGCAACAGCGCTCAGTGTGTTTGCTGCTTGCAAATGAGGGAGGCTAAGGGGCCAGCTAACACTAGCAAAGCAGAGATGGGTCCAGAGACCTGCAAAGCCAAACCGGGGTGGGACGTCTGGGCGGAACCAGGCTAGCTGGAGCTTAACATATCTAAAGAAGGATTGTGTCCGTCTAAAGGGGACTGGGTCATTCCTGGAAACTTGGAAAATTTGGGAACTGCAGGGGCTGAAGGGTTCTTGGCACTGGACTTGGGAGATTTCTCTGTCCTGGTAAGTGGAGATGAATGCTCCCTGAGGGTTAGCTCAAACCTGCTCACCGCTCGTGTCACGTGACTGTACCTGTGACCTTCCCAGATTCTACTGTATCTTTCCTTGGGCAGGTCTGTTGATAAAGAGAACAAGTGCCGGTTTTGCCTGGAGGGGGGTGGCTGGGGGTGGGGTGAGGGTAGAGGTGGGTGGTGGGGATGCCGCTGAGGCCGGGAACCTGTGGGAGCACTGGGTGTTGGGAATGGAGTGTTAGGAAGGGCGATGGAGTGGGCAGTGGGGGCGGGGCGGGGTAGGAGTTGGGGGGAATGGGCACTCAGCCAAACACTGGGTTTGGCCAAAAAGAGAGTATGGTGACCTCGAGGAGACCGTTCCACTAGCCGCATGGGCCTGAGGCCAGCGTGGGCCGTGCTGGGCCACAGAGGAAGAGGCTGGAGCCTGGTGCAGTGACAGCCAAGGCAGCGGCTGGAGGGGAACTAGGAGGGAAGGGGTTTGTGTTCCTTATCTTGCAGTGTGACAGGTGTGAGCGAGGTGGAGCTGGTGCAAAGCAGGGGAGGAGCCTGCGGGCAGAGTGGGCCCCTGGGGCTCAGGTAGGAGAAGAGAGGCAGCACTGCAGAGTGGTTGGAAGCCCGCATGCAGGATCCAAGTCCTCGTCGCTGGGACTGACTGAGCCAGTTTGCTGTGGGTGCAGCTCTTAGTTTGAGAAGGAGGTGGAGGTTTGCAAGCAGCTGCTGAGAGGAAGCGGGGACGGGAGGGGGCATCCTCAGCGGAGATCGAGGAATAGTCTTCCTGAATCTGTGTTTCAGACCCAGCGAGACCCACCAACCCCCGCAACAGAATTGTGAGGGCCAGTCAGGGTAAGGACGCAACCACTCCCTGCGTCAGTGATGCAACTGTGAGTAAGAGTCACCAAATCCTGTCTGCGATATCAAAATGGAAGTGATGCTAGAAACAGAGCCATTTTGAAATATATACACATCTTTCTTTCCTGATTTATCGCCAGCCCTGTGTCTTTTCCCTGAGGCAGCAGCTCAGAGAGGGTCCAAGGCCCCTCCTCAGCTTGGGACCTCATGTCTATACACACGTTTTAGGAGCAAAGGAAAGCGGAGTGACGATGTGAAGCTCCGATACCAGGCCGTGGGAGCCTGGAAAGATCACTTTCTCTAAGAACTGCGATCTTGGAAGTGGCAGCTGGTGGGCACTTCTTTAAGCAAACCCAGTGGGTACGAATGACTTATGCTGGGGTTAGCTCTGCTCTTCATTGGTTAATAATGGCCAGCAGGATTCCTCTAGATCCCAAGGTTCCTAGTGCATTCCGAGTAGGATTTTAGTGTCCTCCAGCACAATTCCAGGAACGCCTCCTGGGCAGGGTGAACGTGGGCCAGAGCCACTTCCTTGGGAGGCAGCCTAAGATTTGGCTGGGGGGCGGGGGGGGGTCTCTTACACCTGGAGGTGGGTGGGAAGGAGTTTTTCTGAATTGGGATCTTCCTTCTCTAGCAGGTAGATCTTTGTTCCACCTCCCCAGGACTTGCTCTGGGATTGGGTGGAAGGAAAGCAGGTGCCCAGAGTGAGTCCAGGTTAATGAAAAGAGATGACCGCAGTCCAGGAAAGGATTTTATTGGTGACAGCAAATCAGAAACAGCAGCAAGAGGGCAGAGCTGTTCTCGTGAGAGTACACTGTACCTGTTATCTAGACTTGGCCTTGTGGTGTGCATGGCGACACATGAAAAATCAGACATAGCACAGACTTGGTGATTGCCCCTCGAAGGCCAGCACTGTGGGGGAGAGTGAAGGACCCGAAGGCCCAGCCAGGTCCCAGTCCTGCTTCTCACAGTGTGACTTTGGGCCACTGTCAGTCTCTGAGACTCAGTTTCCCCATCTGAGGCCGGTCACGATGACACCCATCTCTTAGAGGCATTCTGAGGATCTCGGGGGGGGGGTGTAATTTGAAGTTCTCTGGAAGTATTTACCAGCAATAATTCTCATATGTACATGCTTCAGAGAAGTATAAACTTGGAAGAATTGAAGTGTGGGCCACATTCATTTATTCTGCACACTTATTTATTTTTTTCCAGTTTTATTTATTTCAGTAATGTCTACACCCCACATGGGCTCAAACTCACAGCCCTGAGATCAAGAGCCACATGCTCCTCCGACTGAGCCAGCCGGCACCCTGATTCTGTAGACTTGTGATGTTGCCCGGTGTGTGGGAGGCTCCATGCTTCTTAGGCACTTGGGACAGAAAAACAACAAGATGTAAATCTCTGGCCTGGCAAATGGGCAGCATCGTGAGGGGGGTGGGAAGCAGTGAGTTCAGTGGAATGCGCTAAGTGCTGTGTGGGCAAGGGGAAGCTGTGCGCTAGTTTTGGGGTGGGATCCCATGTGAACTGAGCTGACTTTTGAGAGGGCAAATTGCAGGCTGAGGAGGGAGGAGAGGCTTTCAAGGCAGAGGGAACAGCATAGGGGCATGGAACAGCAGTCTATTCAGAGACCTTAGAAGGACATCTATAGGGACAGGGCCTGACGTGGCCTTCATCCCTACAGGGACCTCCTGAAGGATGACCGGGTGCTGTGAGTCCATTTGATTCTCCTCCACTCTTTTGAAGGCCTCCCTGAGGTGGCAATTAAGAGGGGGCAGGGAGGCGAGGAATTTG